GAAGACAATATTTCCACAGACCGGGACAAAGGAGATGGTTTCAGGATGATTCAAGCACATTACATTTATTGTGCACTTTATTTCTGTTATTATTACATTGTAATATATAGTGCGATAATTACACAACTCACCATAGGTTGGAGACCCCTGGTCTGGAAGGCAGGACCGTGTCATACTGATCTTTGCATCCCCACTAGATCTGCCAAGTAACAATTGCTCAGCAAACTGATATACACATTCAAATTAAAACAGATTCGAAATATTATAGATGTAATCCTTAAAAAGTTAGGATATGAGTGTCAAAAGGGGAATGAGGGCCGGGCGCGGTGGCTCACGCCTGTAATCCTAGCTCTCTGGGAGGCCGAGGCGGGCGGATTGCTCGAGGTCAGGAGTTCGAAACCAGCCTGAGCAAGAGTGAGACCCCGTCTCTACTATAAATAGAAAGAAATGAATTGGCCAAATAATATATATAGAAAAAATTAGCCGGGCATGGTGGCACATGCCTGTAGTCCCAGCCACTTTGGAGGCTGAGGCAGAAGGATTGCTTGAGCCCAGGAGTTTGAGGTTGCTGTGAGCTAGGCTGACGCCACGGCACTCACTCCAGCCTAGGCAACAAAGCGAGATTCTGTCTCAAAAAAAAAAAAGGGGGGAATGAGGCATATAAGCCTTAACATTTATCATTTCTGATAATGTTTCAGGATATTCCGTCAACCTCAAGGCCACTTACTTCTGATTGGTGTTAGTGGAGCAGGAAAAACTACCCTGTCTCGGTTTGTCGCCTGGATGAATGGTTTGAGTGTCTACCAGATTAAGGTGGGTCTTGTTGGTAGCCTCTTACTCCCAGCAATGGGTTCTCTTAATGTGAACACAGAGCTCATTGATGAGAAGGGACCTAACTTGCCAACTGCTTCTGTAGGTCCACAGAAAGTACACAGGGGAAGACTTTGATGAAGATCTTCGGACAGTATTGAGACGTTCTGGCTGTAAAAACGAAAAGATAGCATTTATAATGGATGAATCCAACGTATTAGATTCTGGATTCCTGGAGCGAATGAATACCCTCCTGGCGAACGGAGAGGTAACTAAGTGACATGTTGCATCGTGTTACATGTCACACGAGGACCAGTCAATCACAGCGACATGCGGTTTCCCTAGGTCCCTGGTCTCTTCGAAGGAGATGAGTATGCCACCTTGATGACACAGTGTAAAGAAGGGGCACAGAAGGAGGGCCTGATGCTGGACTCCCACGAGGAGCTCTACAAGTGGTTCACCAGCCAGGTCATCCGCAACCTCCACGTCGTGTTCACCATGAACCCATCCTCGGAGGGGCTCAAGGACCGGGCGGCCACATCGCCAGCACTTTTCAACAGGTACCCTGACCTCTGCTCGGCCGTGGGTCAGAGCAGTCGGTGTCCTTCCAAGGGGCAAGCCCTGCTCTTGGTGGCTGATTTGAAATGTGGCATCATTTTCCAGGTGTGTGTTGAATTGGTTTGGTGACTGGTCCACTGAAGCGCTATATCAGGTTGGCAAAGAATTCACAAGTAAAATGGACCTGGAGAAGCCAAATTATATCGTGCCTGATTACATGCCAGTGGTGTACGATAAGCTGCCACAGCCACCGTCACACCGGGAAGCTATTGTAAACAGCTGTGTGTTTGTTCATCAGACTCTCCACCAGGTAGGTTTTGTTTTTAGACCAATATGTAAAAAAGCAAAACTAACCAAAATGCTAATGTTAAAAAAATTGAGACCAGGCACAGTGGCTCACACCTGTAATCCTAGCACTCTGAGAGACCTAGGTGGGCGGATTGCTCAAAGTCAGGAGTTCGAAACCAGCCTGAGCGAGAGGGAGACCCTATCTCTACTAAAAATAGAAAGAAATTAATTGGCCAATTAAAAATATAGAGAGAAAATTAGCCGGGCATGGTGGCTAATATGGGCATGGGACTACATACATGTCTGTAGTCCCAGCTACTTAAGAGGCTGAGGTAGGAGGATCATTTGAGCCAGGAGAATCATTTGAGCCAGGAGTTTGAGGTTGCTGTGAGCTAGGCTGACACTGAAACCATGGCACTCTACCCCAGGCAACAGAATGAGACTCATGTCTCAAAAAAAAAAAAAAAGATCCCATCTCTACAAAAAGTAGAATAAAAAAATAAGCTGGGTATGGTAGCATGTGCTTATAGTCCCAACTTGGGGACTGCAAGTCCCCAAGGAGGCTGAAGCAAGAGGATTGCTTGAGCCTAGGAGATTGAGGTTGTAATCAGCTATGATGACACACTGCACTCTAGCTGGGGTGAAGAGTTGAGACTCTGTCTCAATAACGACAACAACAAAAAAGTAGGGGGGGAAAGATGGAATAATGCATAGTGTTAGTTACATTTACATAGTAATTTGCAGAGCCTTTTCACATAAATTACACCTGAGGTTGGCATAATCACCATGCTCGGGTTAGAGAAGGTTACAGGTTTAGAGAAGCCTGGAGGTTCAGGGGCTTTCTTGAGAGCTCATGGTGGTTAAGCTGAGGCCCCGCTCGAGTGTTTTGGCTCCTGAGGGCTGGGTTCCTTCCTCCACGTCGCACTGTAGTCTACCAAGGCAGAACAGTTAGAGTTTTCTGCGGTTCAACTGCATTTTCCTGAAGAGTGAGAAGATCTAACTTTACTTTCTGAAAGGCTAATGCTCGGCTGGCGAAGCGAGGCGGCAGAACGATGGCCATCACGCCCCGCCACTACCTGGACTTCATCAACCATTATGCCAACCTGTTCCACGAGAAGCGCAGTGAGCTGGAGGAGCAGCAGATGCACCTGAACGTCGGGCTCCGAAAGATCAAGGAGACGGTTGACCAGGTATACGGTGGGCACGCTTCGTCATGGGAAGGAGGCCCCCTTTCAAGGTAATTTCTGCGGGTTTCTAGTTTGCGAATGTGGATTTTGTTCTTTAGGTAGAGGAACTGCGCCGTGACCTGAGGATAAAGAGCCAAGAGCTGGAGGTAAAGAACGCGGCAGCCAATGACAAGCTGAAAAAGATGGTGAAAGACCAACAGGAGGCTGAAAAGAAGAAGGTATTTTCTTTTATTTCAGGGAACTGTGGCATGGGACTGAGCACTGTCACTGTCAGTCTCTGATGGGACGGTAGGAAATTTAACTTGAGATGGGTGTCAGGGTTTAGTGGGCGTGCATGTGTGTATACACACCCGTGTGTGGTTGGCAGAGTGAAGAGTGTTTAGGATTCACTCAGCTAATTAACCGGTGCTTAACCCATACCTAAGTCATCCTTCCTTTCTAGGTCATGAGCCAAGAAATTCAGGAACAGCTGCATAAGCAGCAGGAAGTAATTGCAGATAAACAAATGAGTGTCAAGGAAGATCTTGATAAGGTGGAGCCTGCCGTCATAGAGGCCCAGAACGGTACGTGAGTGCAAACCCGTCGGGGTTCCACCTGTCCCTCAGAGTCACTGCTGGGAGCGAAGGGGACTGACGTGGGCTTCCCTCGAAGGTTCCAGATATGTACGTTAACAAAAGCATTGTTGGTAAACATCTGAAGCCCCTTGTAAACACTTAAAATTGTCATCTCTTACAGCAAAGTTCCTGTAAAGCTAGTCACATTTGCCGTGGTAAAACCCTTCTCAGAAGAGAAAGTTAACAAAATAAGCTTTGTCAAATATACACTTTTCAAGGGTGTTTATAATTACATCATTATCAACAGCAACACAGTGTGCTATTTATTAATCCCTGACCTGAATTTCACCAGAAAGTGTCATAAAATATTCAGTGTCTCCATCGTGGAATTATCTGAGTGTTCTGGCCGTGCCCAGTGGTTACTAATGCCATTATTGAAAACAGTCACTTCTCTTTTTCCATTCCCTACATGCCTGTGAAATGCGATAGATATGGTGCAGTCACCTGTCACCGTGTTTTAGCTTGCAATTTATGCAGTGACTAAGAGCACTCTTCTTGCCCACTGGTGTTCTAACTTGTTCCATGTAACCCAATTATTTGTAGTTTTTATGTTACATCACAAGGTGAGTTAAAACGCACCACCCAAGCTGTAGATTTTTGTTAAGAGTTGGATCTGGATGAGAATTTAATGTAGGTCTCACCTTCTAAGTAATTACTTAAAAAGTGTTTGTTTTACTAAAATTTAACTGTTCCATTCCATAACTGTTAAGTTAGAACTGTTAATTCCATTTTTGCCCAGCCTGTCAGACAACTTCTGAATTATAGCACATCTAGAATTTCTTTGTTGAAATGGTATAATATGAATGCATAATTACATTCACTAATTTTCTAATCTTTATGAGGATAAAGGTATTGATGAGGATCATGAGGCATTTTAAAGGTAATAGCCTGTGGTTTAGGCTTGGTATTGTAAGGTCTTCGTAGCTATTTAAAGGATTTATGCTATTTAAGAGTTTAAGAGAGAAAAAGTACATTTCTTAGCTCTTCTGGGCAGCTGTCCCTTCTGTCATTGGAGTTGGGGCTTGTGGCCATGTTGGGTTCACCACACTCTGTCCTCTTCCACCCCTGCTGTCCCCAGCTGTGAAGTCCATCAAGAAGCAGCACCTGGTGGAGGTGCGGTCCATGGCCAACCCCCCTGCCGCCGTGAAGCTGGCGCTGGAGTCCATCTGCCTGCTGCTGGGGGAGAGCACCACGGACTGGAAGCAGATCCGCTCCATCATCATGCGTGAGAACTTCATCCCAACCATCGTCAACTTCTCCGCCGAGGAGATCAGGTGAGCAAGTGAAACCCCACATTATTGCCAGGAATTGAAAGAAATTGTCCGAGTGTTGAGAGTAGCATTTTCAGCTTTCACCTGAGAACCGAGGGTCCGTCTGGCTCATCCCCAGGGGCCACTAGGGCAATAAGCCGGGCACTGGCTCTAGTCCTTTACACTTGAGTCATCTTTACTTTTGTCCTGCATGTGCTGAGAATGCAATTGCTCTTTTGCAGTGATGCCATAAGGGAAAAGATGAAGAAAAACTACATGTCCAACCCGAGTTATAATTATGAAATTGTCAATCGGGCATCCCTGGCCTGCGGCCCTATGGTGAAATGGGCAATTGCACAGGTGAGGAGCATGGCTGGGAGCCCCATAAAAGGTGACCTCTTTTCCTGTCACTTTCTTTTTTTTTTTTTTTTTTTTTTTTGGAGGACAGAGTCTCACTTTCTGCCTCGCCAGGCTAGAGTGAGTGCCGTGGCGTCAGCCTAGCTCACAGCAACCTGGGCTCAAGCTATCCTGCTGTCTCAGCCTCCTTAATAGCTGGGCTACAGGCATGCAGCCACCATGCCCGGCTAATTTTTCCTATATATATTGGTTGGCCAATTAATTTCTTCCCAATTTTAGTAGAGACTGGGTCTCGATCTTGCTCTTGCTGATTTTTAACTCCTGACCTTGAGTGCTCCTCAGCCTCCCAGAGTGCTAGGATTACAGGCGTGAGCCACCACGCCGGCCTCCTGTCACTTTTAAGTAACAGCTCTGGGTTGCCCTTCCCAGCTTAACTACGCAGACATGTTGAAGCGAGTGGAGCCCCTGCGTAACGAGCTGCAGAAGCTGGAGGATGACGCCAAGGACAACCAGCAGAAGGCCAACGAGGTGGAGCAGATGATCCGCGACCTGGAAGCCAGCATCGCCCGCTACAAGGAGGAGTACGCCGTCCTGATCTCAGAGGCCCAGGCCATCAAAGCAGACCTGGCAGCTGTCGAAGCAAAAGTGAGACCATCGGGCGCAGTCTGTCTTGCCAGCTCCCCCAAAGTCCTGTCTCTGAGCCACTTAGTATGAGGTGTTTCTTGGCCTAATTTGGTGGCAGTGGAGACGAACACACTTCTAGGTGGACTGCGTGGACCGTGTTGGTCACAGTGAATTGGCTCTCTAATGTCTGTTAGGGCCCTGATGGCTTTTTTTCCTAAAAAAATATAAAAGCTGAGCGGTTTATTAAAGTGCTTTAATTAGATAGAGGTCATGGGGCAGCTGGCAGTGAAAGCCAATGAATCCTCCCTCTTCCCCCTCTGTCAGCTCTAAACCTACTTGTTCTATCGTTTTTTTTTTTTTTGGGCCTGCAATCGCTCGTATCAAGTCCTCCCCTGATCTTTTTTTTTTTCTTTTTTTTTTTTTTTTTTGAGAAAAGAGTCTCACATTGTTGCCCCCAGGCTACGAGTGAGGCGCGTAAAACAACTAAAAAATTTCAAAAAAGAAAAAAAAAAAAAAAAAAAAAAAAACAACAAAAAGCACCTTCCCACAGAACCAAGAAGACAAATACACTCAGAGAAAAAAAACTGCTCCAGGCTGCTCCCGAGTAGGCTTGGGACTACAGGCCATGCACCGCCATGGCCCGGCTAATTTTTTCTATATATATTAGTTGGACAATTAATTTTTTCTACCAAAAGAAAGTAAGGAGACAACATACAGACATCAAAAATATAGAACAAACAACATATAAGAGACATCAAACTGACCCTTGAGGCAATCCGCCCGTCTCGACCTCCCAGAGAGCTAGGATTACAGGCGTGAGCCACCGCGCCCGGCCATGACAGGCTCTTTTATCTTTTGCCACTGGTGTCTCTTCCTTCCAGGGCTCACCCTACAGTTCCTTCCACCCCAGAGCCTGCCTTTCTACTCCCATTTCTCTGCTCATACAAATGCCTCAAGGCCGAAAGTGAATTGCCTTCCTCGGCTTCTGCCCCGTTAGACCCTGAGATGTGTGTGGTCGTTGATTGTACATGATCTGGGTCTCATCCCCTTGGGGTGTGAACAACTCGAGCACGTTTCTAGCCCACCCAAAACCTGTGCATGAGTGGATTCGCAGTATTCAACCTGCTGACCCTGAGCATCTTGTCTGACGTTCCTCTTAGGTAAACCGGAGCACTGCTCTTCTGAAGAGTTTATCTGCTGAACGTGAACGATGGGAAAAAACAAGTGAGACTTTCAAAAACCAGATGTCCACCATCGCAGGGGACTGTCTCTTGTCGGCCGCATTTATTGCATATGCAGGTTACTTTGACCAGCAGATGCGTCAGAACTTGTTCACTACCTGGTCCCATCACCTACAGCAAGCCAACATCCAGGTAAGGACCCGCAGGGAACTCCAGAACGATGTGGCTAACGGTGTGGGCCAGACTGATGCTTAGTAAACTTTCACGAAGTCCTAACTTGACAATAGTCTCCGTCGGTATTTCTGGAAAAGAGGAGAGGTAACCAGCCTTGCCTTTCAGTTCCGCACAGATATTGCGAGGACAGAGTATCTCTCCAATGCCGACGAACGTCTTCGCTGGCAAGCCAGCTCCCTGCCTGCCGACGACCTCTGCACGGAAAACGCGATCATGCTGAAACGGTTCAACAGGTGCGTGCCGGGCACCAGGAAGAGGCGGGGGGAACGTTTACATGTGGTGATTCCGTCTTCATTCCCAAAACACCTTGGTTCAAAGAGAGAACTAGGAAGTGGGCGTGGGCATGCAGTGTGCGGGTCGGTGCCTGTGACAACGGGTGTGCGCAGTTCTCTTTGTCCTTGTCTGAATTGCTCTGCATGAATGCTTCTTGTTGCAACCCTCTAAAATTGATAGGAAGGCTTGTGTGTAGGGGTGAACATTAAAACAGTCCTCCTTGGATGTCATGCTGTATTGTAACAAAAAACAACCAAGAAAACCAGTCTTCTCTTAAAATACCACAAGAACTGAAAATATTTAGCTAAAGGGGAAATTTCTACTTGACTTTCTGCTTAAGAAGCCCAGAATAAGAAATGGGATGTGACTGGTGGTGAAGGTGGCATAGGTGCCAAGCAAGATCCGAGGAGCCCCCTCAGCACCAGCCCATGCGAGGGACCTTGCGCTCCAGGGCCTGGCCTCCTCCCCAGTGCTCTTCATCCCGGCACCCTGGATGCTTTGTGCTCTTCTCTCCTTTCTAAAGCGTGTTCTCAGATTTCTTTCTAAGCTCATCTAAAGATCTTGAAACCTTTATCAAGCCCTGTGTATACCACTGCCTTAGGCACTCAAAAGATGATGAAGACTCTGCAAGGTGCTGCTGGCAGTTTGTGAGCAAACCCTCAGTGTCACGCCCGGACTGAAGGGCCTCAGTGTCCCGTCAGGCGGTGCTGACAAGAATATTGATCGATAGGTACGGTCTGTGTGCAGGGCTGAACTTGTCTAAGCTAAAAATACACACTCCTTTTAATCTAGGAGTTCCACCTCTAGATGTAATCAACAGTAGCCTGGCACACTTGAAAACGGCAAGTCCAAGATGAAACGTGTACCTGCAGAAGACTGGGAATAACTCCCATGTCCCCCATTCGGGGCCAGTTAACAGAGGGGCACCAGGTCGTGTTTGCAGATGCAGGACGTTGAAATAGAGCCGACTGCAGAGGGTGGGCGCAGAGCAGGGGGGAGCGTGCCCCCCGGACACACAGTGCTCACATGCACACCCGGTGAACACCTAAACTCTCTGTAAGATACACGAGAAACTGGTGATAGTAGTCACCTGGGCAAGGAACTTTGGTGACCAAAGAATGGGGTCAGGAGGGCAGGAGCAAGGTGGTTCTTCTCTCCATGTGCCCTTTTATAGCTTCTGAATCTTTTGAAGCTTATGTGTTCTGTTAACCTGTTTTTAAAATATATATAATTGGCTAGACCCTGAACAAATCACAGTAGCCTCCTTGTTGCCTCCGTTTTCTCATTCGTAAAATGTATTTGATAACAGTGCCTGTCTTGTGGGGTTATTGTGAAGATTAAATGAGATAGTGTCTATAATTTGACAAGGTCCCTGGCAATTTAAGCTCTTCATAACGTTAACTCCTGACGCTGCCATGGCATTGGTGTCGGTGCCACTCTCCAGGAGTCCGCAGTCTGGAAGGGCCGCAACACATGGAGCGTAATTCCAATGTACCGTGCTTGGCGTGTGGAGAAAAGCACGTGTAGGGTGCTGTGAGCGAGAACACTGTTCCCAGAGGGGAAAGGATTTTCAACTGTGGCCTGCGTAGCAAAGCGTGTTGCCTTCTCATTCCAGTAGCTCTTCACAAAGATGACTTGGTGTGAGCACTGAGCATCTAGGTCATGTTTGTCTTCATTGGTAGGTCTGGAAACCACTCCCGGGTGGCTGTCACAGCCTTTCCATCTGTCTCACCAGTGACTTGCTGACTGCTTCTGCCCTCCCTGTTGGATATTTAACCTGCTCTTCTATGGCCTCATCCTCAGGTATCCGCTGATCATTGACCCCTCTGGCCAGGCCACAGAGTTCATCATGAATGAGTACAAGGACCGTAAGATCACACGGACCAGCTTCCTGGACGATGCCTTCAGGAAGAATTTAGAGAGTGCACTGAGATTTGGTAACCCCCTTCTGGTCCAGGTTTGTGTTTGGCTTTAAATTCTTCAAACACTGTCCAAGAGTGAATTCCTATTAGGGTTGCATTTAGGTTTTCTTCAAACATAGTGGACGTGAAATAAAACTAAATTACATAATCCAAACACTGATAACTTTTGAACTTTCTAAGACTTTGATATCAGAACAAGAATAAAGCTTTGAGATTGTTCTAGAAGAAATTCAACAAAATCAGTGTTTGCATTTAAAATTCTAATTGGAGAGTCTAACTCAGTACTATCCACCAGAACTTTCTGCAGAGGTAGGACTGTCTTACCACCTGCATTATCCATTGTGGTAGCCACCAGCCACATGTGGCCATCGAGTACTTCCTGTTGCCAGTGTGACTAATAACTGGATTTTATTTTATTTTTATTTTTATTTTTTTTTTTTTTTGAGACAGAGTCTCACTTTGTTGCCCAGGCTAGAGTGAGTGCCATGGCATCAGCCTAGCTCACAGCAACCTCAAACTCCTGGGCTCGAGTGATCCTTCTGCCTCAGCCTCCCGGGTAGCTGGGACTACAGGCATGCGCCACCATGCCCGGCTAATTTTTTATATATATATCAGTTGGCCAATTAATTTCTTTCTATTTATAGTAGAGACGGGGTCTCGCTCTTGCTCAGGCTGGTTTTGAACTCTTGACCTCGAGCAATCCGCCCGCCTCGGCCTCCCAAGAGCTAGGATTACAGGCGTGAGCCACCTCGCCCGGCCTTGGATTTTATTTTAATTCATTTAAATTCAGGTAGGCACATGTCACTAGTGGCTGCCATATTGTACCGTGCAGGTCTAAGTGGCTAGGTGGCTCCTGGGCGTATTTATCTAGAGTAGGACAGCAACACACTATTTGGGTGAAGATAGATATTGGAAAACCCTAACCGTTATAAGTTGCACCCATGTGTCATACAGGATGTGGAAAGCTACGATCCAGTTTTGAACCCAGTACTAAACCGCGAAGTTCGGCGAACAGGAGGGAGAGTGCTGATCACCCTTGGTGACCAAGACATAGACCTGTCACCATCGTTTGTCATCTTCTTGTCCACCCGGGATCCAACTGTAAGGAGTGGGACACTTCCCATAGGGAAATGTGGCAGGATCTGGTTTTGCAGCTGAATTAACAAAACAGACTGTTCTCTGTTTGGGCAGGTTGAGTTCCCACCAGATCTCTGTTCCCGAGTGACTTTCGTGAACTTCACAGTCACCCGGAGCAGTTTACAAAGCCAGTGTCTAAATGAAGTACTTAAAGCAGAAAGACCCGACGTGGACGAAAAACGGTCCGATCTTCTTAAACTCCAAGGTATAGTTCTGGGTCCGTGGATTTTAGGTGCTTGGTGCAGGTTAGGAGGCTGAAGGTCTGAGCCACTGAGGCGTTCCAGGTTCAAGGCAGACACTTCAGAGAGCTCTCCTTTCGAAGGAAGGTCAGCATCGCAGCTAACTCTGCATGTTTTGTTCATTTCAGGGGAATTTCAGCTGCGTTTACGTCAGCTGGAGAAGTCCCTGCTGCAGGCTCTGAACGAGGTGAAAGGGCGCATTTTGGATGATGACACGATCATAACGACGCTGGAGAACCTGAAGAGAGAGGCTGCCGAGGTCACCAGGAAGGTAGAGGAGACGGACATCGTCATGCAGGAAGTGGAGACGGTGTCCCAGCAGTACCTGCCGCTCTCCACCGCCTGCAGCAGCATCTACTTCACCATGGAGTCCCTCAAGCAGGTGGGCGCCCTCGGCTATGGCAGCAGCTCCAGGCCCGCTGGCACCAGTGCTCAGGAGCACTGCCTAACGGCCACCCACCACTTCCTTTCAGATACACTTCCTGTACCAGTACTCCCTGCAGTTCTTCCTGGACATTTATCACAATGTCCTGTACGAGAACCCGAATCTGAAGGGCATCACTGACCACACGCAGCGCCTCTCCATCATCACGAAGGACCTCTTCCAGGTAGAGGGCGCAGCGCTCGCTGCTTCCCGGGACGGAGGGGCAGAGTACCTTCTCAGGAACAGCAGCGTCTCACCTGCTTTTGTCCCAGGTGGCGTTTAACCGGGTGGCCAGAGGCATGCTGCATCAGGACCACATCACCTTCGCCATGCTGCTGGCGAGAATCAAGCTGAAGGGCACCGTGGGGTAAGGTTGCTTGCTAGCGTCCTATGATAGAACACGTTTTCTTCAAGTCGTGACGGTTGTTTTAGTGACAGTAAAAGTGAAAATAAGAGACCCTTGCTTACCTCTTGCACCCTTTCCAGGGAGCCCACCTATGATGCTGAATTCCAGCACTTCTTGAGAGGGAAGGAGATCGTGCTTAGTGCTGGCTCAACCCCCAAAATCCAGGGCTTGACTGTCGAGCAGGCAGAAGCAGTTGTGAGGTTGAGCTGTCTTCCTGCATTTAAAGATCTGATCGCAAAGGTTCAAGCAGACGAGGTAATTGTTCTTTTGAACGTTCCCAGTGAAACCATTGGCCTTATCCCAGGAAATCGGCAATGAGAAATCACGTGATGTGAACCCAGACTGTTGTGTCTGTGCTCTCGTGCCAGACATGTGTCATGCCTGTCTCAGCCCCAGAGGCCAGCCTGGCCTGCTCAGGGCTCCCACCGTTTTCTCCACAGCAATTTGGCATCTGGCTGGACAGCAGCTCCCCAGAGCAGACCGTGCCATACCTCTGGAACGAAGAAACACCTGCAAGTAAGCCCATGTCTGCATGCGCGCGCACCCCGTTGTTTTCTCTCTGGATCTGGATGTAAGGTTGAGTTTTACAGCTTTAAGGGACATGTCTAAAAAATAAAGTTACTGATGCCCAAGATAAATATTTCAGTGTTTAAACTTTTTAGGAAACCACTTAAGGAGATGGCTTCTAGGTAGGGGTTGGCTTAGAAGTGGAAGGTCAAAAACCCCTAATTCCTATTTCAATTCATGCTTAAAGACCAGAAGAGAAACAGTCTGCTACAAACAGGAACAGAATGCCACAGGGCATTTCTGAGTCTGTGGGGCCAGGCCCTGGGTAGCCAGGCTCAGGGAGCGGAGCATGGAGCTCTGCTGCCCTCAGCAGTGGGGACAGGGCCACCTCCTAAGGAGTTCACTCCAGGTGTTCTGCAGTGAACGGGTCTCGATAGAGGAAGTTAAAAATCAGGAAATGGCACCTTGTCCTGTGGAGACATCCAGGTGGTAAAGGGCTGTCACAGGGGTGTCCAGAGGGCTCAGGTGAGGCACTGCAGATGGTGGCAAGTTCTCCTGGAGCAGAGAGGACCAGAAGGGGTGTCATGATTTCCGAGATGTAGTGTGAGCTGAGCCCTGGATGTGTGCTGTGGGAAGAGCGGCCGGGCAGGGCAGGGCGCCTCCAAGTCCGCCTTCACCAATCTCCGGCCCTCTCCACACCTCGTTTCAGCTCCCATCGGGCAAGCCATCCACCGCCTGCTCCTGATCCAGGCGTTCCGGCCTGACCGCCTGCTGGCCATGGCCCACGTGTTTGTTTCAACAAACCTCGGAGAGTCCTTCATGTCCATCATGGAGCAGCCGCTGGACCTGACCCACATCGTGGGCACAGAGGTAACTTACGTTCCCAGTGGCAGCTGGCAGCAGCCCTGGCGTCTGCTCTGACTCCTGGCTGCGCCATCCTCCCACGGCCCAGAACCTGCTATGGATTCTGGGGGCGCTCTCAATTAACAGGCACACGCCGTCCGCTGGCACAGCTTCTAACTGTTCTGCCTCCTTCATGTGCAGGTGAAGCCAAACACTCCTGTCCTGATGTGCTCTGTGCCTGGGTATGACGCCAGTGGGCACGTTGAGGACCTTGCAGCTGAGCAGAACACGCAGATCACGTCCATCGCGATCGGTAAGGGCACTGGATGGGTTTTGTGGGCTGAAGCCCCGCAGGGCCCATGGTAGGCGTGAGAGTCTAGGGCTGTCGTCGCTAACACTGGGCTTCATTGAACCAGGCTCCGCAGAAGGCTTTAACCAAGCAGACAAGGCGATAAACACCGCTGTGAAGTCGGGCAGGTAGGCCTGTTTACTTTTGTTTTTAGAAAGTCTTAGTCCCCAAGAATTCAGGCGGGAACTTGGCCTATCATGTGGCTTTCGCGTTGTGTGTGCAGGTGGGTGATGCTGAAGAACGTGCACCTGGCCCCGGGGTGGCTGATGCAGCTGGAGAAGAAGCTGCACTCCCTGCAGCCGCACGCCTGCTTCAGACTCTTCCTCACCATGGAGATCAACCCCAAGGTGGGTGACGTTGAAGGCTCGTGTGACATCTTCCCGTGTAGCCTGTGTGTATGTGAGGCAGAGCAGACCCTGTGTCGGAACCAGAGCAGTAATGGAAGCCGCTGTGCCGTCCCCTCCAGGTGCCTGTGAACCTGCTGCGCGCGGGTCGCATCTTCGTGTTCGAGCCTCCCCCAGGGGTGAAGGCCAACATGCTGAGGACGTTCAGCAGTATCCCCGTCTCTCGGATATGCAAGGTAAAGATCTGGTCCCCGCTGGGGGCCGCGCCTTGCTCCTATAATCCTAGCATTGTATTAGGCTGAGGCATGCAGATCGCTTGAGGTCAGGAGTTTGAGACCAGCATGAGTAACAGAGACCCACTCGCAAAAACAAGAAAGAGAGATCTCGTGCTCCTGGTGTGCTTGCTCCGTGTAAACCTGTAAGACACATCACTGAGTCTGGACACAAGACTCTGCTTCCTAGCAGCGCCACGATGGTGGGTGACACTGGTGATTTTACCTTTTAGCTGTAGGCAGAGTTTCCTTCATGGGAACGGGCTGAAAGATAAAAGCCCATGTACCCAGTGCTTGGGCCCAGATGAGCGGAGAACTCATCTGGTAGATGAGAGAAGGTAGAACTCAGCGTCATGCCCCAAGAGGATACAGGCTCTCCCTCCTCCCCAGCACGGCCTTGGGGCCCCCCAGGTGCCGAGCAAGGACCAGGATTCTTGAGCAGGAGGAAGGGATGTGACAATAAGTTTGGAGCAGGAGGAAGGGATGTGACAATAAGTTTGAACCAATTCTCTTATTTGTGCTGTAATCTACCTTTTTTGACATTTTAGACAATCTGCCCTCCCTATATGATTTCCTATTAGCTAAATAAATTTTCTCAGCCGTGTCATTGGCTCGCATCTTCACTGTAGGAAGAGCAGCGTGCTTCTCTCCCGCAGCAACGTTCGCCCGAATTTGGTGCCAGCGTCAGTGCGGGGAGAGCCCTTTCTATGCCGGGACCGTGACATGGCCTCTACGCTGTTCTCTGAGAGAGAACGGGGTGCTGCCTCTGACGACTCCGTCCTTGTCCCTTTTCCCTCACCCAGTCTCCCAACGAGCGTGCCCGCTTGTACTTCCTGCTGGCCTGGTTCCACGCCATCATCCAGGAGCGCCTGCGGTACGCGCCGCTGGGCTGGTCAAAGAAGTACGAGTTTGGAGAGTCTGATCTGCGGTCAGCCTGCGACACGGTGGACACGTGGCTGGACGACACGGCTAAGGCAAGTGTGGGCCGTGCCCTGGCCACGGGGCAGTGGGCTGGCAGCAGACAGTAGGCAGTCCCCTGTGACTGCCCGAGAGGGAGCGCCAGGGCCTCCCTCCAACCGCAACCCGGCCTTTCCTCACCCAGGGCAGGCAGAACATCTCGCCAGATAAGATCCCTTGGTCCGCGCTGAAGACCCTGATGGCCCAGTCCATTTACGGCGGGCGTGTGGACAACGAGTTTGACCAGCGTCTGCTCAACACTTTCCTGGAGCGTCTGTTCACAACCAAGAGCTTTGACAGCGAGTTTAAGCTGGCGTGCAAGGTCGACGGCCATAAGGACATTCAGATGCCGGACGGCATCAGGTATGCAGCTGTCTGCCAGAACCGTGGTGGCTGTGATGTCAGGGCGTCTGGTGTCATTTCCTAGCACCGCCCCTAATACCCTTCCCAAATGTGCCGGTTTTCCAGGCGAGAGGAGTTTGTGCAGTGGGTGGAGCTGCTCCCGGACACCCAGACGCCCTCCTGGCTGGGCCTGCCCAACAACGCCGAGAGAGTCCTCCTCACCACGCAGGGTGCGTAGCCACGAGTCCCCCAGAGCCCCAAGCCCATCTCCTGAGACCACCAGCCTCCCCAGCTCCACTCGCAGAGAAAAGGGGTATCTTTTCTGCAACATCAATCAGTTGTGGAGAAAAGGCTTGCTATTTGTGTGCATAAGTCTGGAAACTGTATTTAGATTTTCGTCTTTCAGAAATAGTGACTTTTTTCCTCAACAGTTTAAAAGTATCTGGTATGAAGTGATGTTTTAGTCTATTTCATGTACTTTGAGCCAAAAGGGATCTAAGAAATGATTTAATCAGTGATTCTCAAAGCAGGGTTCCCCAGAGCAGTGCAGTCAGAGCAGGGGAGGGGCCCAGCAAGCTGTCCCATTGAGTCCTCCCCCACACCCTGCAGGACAGCAGGGCTAGACTTTTGTTTATGGGAAAAGGCCCAGAAAAGACAAGGGATTCACCAGAGCTCACACAGCCGGTTAACAGGACAGGATCGCACGCGTCACGTCAGGCAGGCCTCTCCGTTCTGTCGCGAGCACAGGAGGTTCTGGGGCTTCCTGCCCGGGCGTCCCCTGGGCTTTAGAACACCTGGTACTTCTCAAAGCACCGAGGTCGCCCCGGCGCAAACCCAGCAGGCGGGCCTCACAGTTGAGTCCTCCTTTCCCTCTTTTCCTGGTGCCCGCTCCTCCACGCCACGATGGTGGCTCAGGCGTGGACATGATCAGCAAGATGCTGAAGATGCAGATGCTGGAGGATGAAGACGACCTGGCCTACGCCGAGACCGAGAAAAAGGCGAGGACGGACTCCACGTCCGACGGGCGCCCGGCCTGGATGCGCACGCTGCACACGACCGCGTCCAACTGGCTGCTGCTCATCCCCCAGACGCTGAGCCACCTCAAGCGCACCGTGGAGAACATCAAGGTGGCTGGGGCGGGGCGGGCGGCCCTGGGACAGAGCCAGTTCCTGTGTCTGGCCGGGCCTGTGGAACAGATGGGTTGACAATGCCGGGAGGTTGGTGCTCCAGAAGGCGGCGGCGGGAGCCCTGCTCCTCAGAGCGCTGTCGAGCCGCGGGTCAGGCAGGCCACGGGGCTGTGCCCAGCGCCGTTCCACTCGAGGCCTGGTCCGGATCAGCCCGGGGAAGCTGTTAGGGAGTCTGGGTCTCTCCCCAGAGGCTGACTTACTGCTCAAGAAGGGGCTGCTTCCTTAATTCTCACCCTTCTCTTTGAATGGTTTCAGGATCCTCTGTTCAGGTTCTTTGAGCGAGAAGTGAAGATGGGCGCCAAACTGCTTCAGGACGTGCGCCAGGATCTCGCAGATGTCGTCCAAGTGTGTGAAGGAAAGAAAAAACAGACCAACTACTTGCGTACACTCATCAACGAGCTGGTGAAAGGTATTTTAGAAGTTGGGTACCTGGGAGCTCAGGCCAGCAGGGCAGGACTTGGGCACTGGCCTGGGCCTGGGCCCCGCCACCACCGCCCCTACCCCACCACCTAGAGAAGGGCACAGTCTCGGGTACTGACACATCTGTAAACATGACGTGGTGACAGCCAGGCCTGGCCGAAGTGTCCTTCTGGGCCAGCTTCCCTGGGGGCAGCTCAGTGCTCTCAACTTAGGGTGTGGGGAGGGGCCTGGACTTCCATTTCCTTCTCCGCCGGGTCACTGAAACCTTTGTGCAAGCTCTGTGACTGTCAGGGTCTCCCCGGGCAGTGAATGGGCAGCATGGCGGCCTTGCCCAGCAAGGGCTGGCGGTGTGCCGGGCTGCGGCAAGCAGGCGCAGACCCGGACAGGAGAGGTAGGCTGAGTCCACAGGTGCGGGGAGCCCTCAGGGGCCCCCTTGTGTCCAAGTTTGTGTGATGTGAGTTTGTCACTGTCGTTCCACTTGGACGTGATTGTGGTCCTTCACACACACGCTAATTTGACCCTAGAAGCCGCACTGTGCTGAGACTCGCGCTGGCCAGCCTGCTGACGGGCCGGGAAGGGGAGGCGGGTGGAGCGTCACACCTGTGGGCGCGGCTTGCGGTGACGGGCGCTCGCACATGTGCCCAGTCTGCGCTGGGGCGTCGTCAGGACTTACGCCGGGCCGGGGGCTCCGTGCCTTGTTTGCAGGGATCTTGCCTCGGAGCTGGTCCCACTACACGGTGCCTGCGGGCATGACCGTCATCCAGTGGGTGTCCGACTTCAGCGAGCGGATCAAACAGCTCCAGAACATCTCGCTGGCGGCTGCGTCGGGCGGCGCCAAGGAGCTAAAGGTGGGAAGGACGGTCCTCAGAAGCCCAGGGGTGGTCAGCAGCTATCCCTGGAGCGGGTGGGGCAGCCGGGAACAGCACAGGGCCCAGGTCTGACCCGAGCTGCTTCCCACAGAACATCCACGTGTGCCTGGGTGGCCTGTTCGTGCCTGAGGCGTACATCACGGCCACCAGGCAGTACGTGGCCCAGGCCAACAGCTGGTCCCTGGAGGAGCTCTGCCTGGAAGTCAATGTCACCACCTCACAGAGTGCCACCCTGGATGCCTGCAGCTTCGGGGTCACAGGTGAGTTGGAGCCTCACAGAAAATAGTGGCTCTTCCCTTAAGTTCACCTTCCCCACACTGGGCCTCTAGCTTGCCCAGCCTGACCGCTTAGGAGAGACTTTGGTTGTCTGAGACGATGTTCCCCAACGAATGCATTTAAGGTGACCGGCTGGTGGCCCATAGAGCTGTCCGGTTTACCTGTGAGAGCCCTGGGACCTTGGTCTGTGTGGCTGCTGTGTTCACGTCAGATGGGCTTTGACTTCTGTCCCACAGGTCTGAAGCTGCAGGGGGCCACGTGCACCAACAACAAGCTGTCCCTGTCCAGCGCCATCTCCACCGTGCTCCCCCTGACACAGCTGCGCTGGGTCAAGCAAACGAACGCAGAGAAAAAGGCCAGTGTGGTGAGTGCCGCCCCGAGGTCAGGGAGCCGCTGCAGGACCCGGTGGTGGGCGAGGTCGTCTCCCTGTTTCCGCACCTGAGTTCTGCTGTAACAGAGAATCCACTTCATAGAAGCAGCCACTTCCTCTTGTGTAAGCCCCTCTGCTGCTTTTCTTGCAGGTGACCTTACCTGTCTACCTGAACTTCACCCGAGCAGACCTTATCTTCACTGTCGACTTCGAAATTGCTACGAAAGAAGATCCTCGCAGCTTCTACGAGCGTGGCGTTGCAGTCTTGTGCACAGAGTAAAACTGAACTTTTCTAGCTTCCCCTTGCTGTAAAAGTCAATATTTAACATTTATTCATTATTAAAACATTTGGAAGGTATGAACTTGTGAAAAGAAAGTAGTTGGCTTGAGAGTGGAGGAAACTGAATGGAATCTGACGGTTAGGAGTGGTGGACATTGGAAAGATCCAAGTAGGTGTTTTTAGAGGGTTGATAGCATGGCTCATTTTATGAAATAAAACACTAAGCATGACCCGGCTCCTGCCTCTTCTGTCAGCTGTAGTCTTGGGGCGCTGGGCCCTCTGCAACGGGCGGGGGCAGAGCTCTAGTTCCCACGGGATGGCCAGGCCACCACTATGTCCCAGCCCTCCTCACCGCAAGCACTTGGGGCGCTGAGTGAGCCCCGCTCCAGGGTGACCACAGTGGCCCTGAATCAAGAACATTTCACAGGCTGGGTGCAGTGGCTCACGCCTGTAATCCTAGCACTCTGGGAGGCCGAGGCAGGAGGATCACTCAAGGTCAGGAGTTCAAAACCAGCCTGAGCAAGAGCGAGACCCCGTCTCTACTATAAATAGAAAGAAATTAATTGGCCAACTAAAAATATATTAAAAAATTAGCTGGGCATGGTAGTACATGCCTGTAGTCCCAGCTTCTTGGGAGGCTGAGGCAGGAGGATGGCTTGAGCCCAGGAGTCTGAGGTTGCTGTGAGCTAGGCTGACGCCACGGCACTCTAGCCCGGGCAACAGAGACTCTGCCTCAAAAAAAAAAAAAAAGTACTTCACAGAAACAGCCGGTGTGGCTGGAAAAGCTCTGACCATCCCGGCTCCAGTTATCACTCCTGACCCGAGCCGCTGGCGCTGTTGGCAGGGTGCGGGCCCGAGGTGGTCTCTGTTCCACGGTCCAGGGTGTGGGTGCCCAGCTCAACCCTAGCGGCAGTGGGAGAGGCCCACGTGGTGGGCTGCTTACTCCTCCCACTCTCAGCAGCGGGCAAGGGGGCGGCCTACCTGTGGAAACAGGTTTCCTGTCTTTCCAGCGCTCCTAGGGTCAGCTGTGGATAGGCCCTAAAGGGCTGCCACTGCCCCCACCACGTGCGAGTGTCACCAGCACAGTGACTGAGCCCCATCCCCTCGTCAGGTGGTCTCCGAGAGTCAGGACCCCCTCCCCACCTGGCTCTGAGCTTGGCATCCGGGATCCTTGGTGGCCTGATTGCGGGCCAGTGCTGGATTTGATTGAAAATTAGGGCCCGCCCTTTGGAAATGTGTCTCTGACACAAGAAACATGCATAAGGGTTCTTGGCACCTCTACGCGTGAGGCCGCAGGGTGCCCCCAGCAGAGCGAGCCTGGGAGCAGCAGGGACACCCCCAAACCTCACCGTGCAGACGTGTTCTCACCTGGGCCTGCCATCCCACCCCATCTCCAGAGCAGGGTCCGAGCCACAGAGGCTCACGTCGGGGCAGAATGGGGACTCCGGGGCGCGTCCTGTGAACCCTAAGGCCTGGCTGGGAGGGAGCAAGGAGCGAGCTCCTGAAATGGAGGCCTTGGTTCTGCCCAAGGCCAACGGGCAGAAGCGTCCCTGGCCACCAGACTCCTCCAAGGGCGCTGGAGGGATAGGGGCAGGGAACTCATGTCCAGGCCTCCCCCAAGGTGAGGACCTCCACGGCGGCCACCAGGAGCGCCTGAGGCTTTCCCTGCTGCCTCCCAACCTAACGCCCCACCAGACAGCACCCAGGTCCCCGGGCCTCACGCAGAGCTTGTTCCATGGGGCTGCAGGGGCACCCTGGGAGTGAGAGGCCCACCCCACCTCCCCCGGGACTGCACCTCCTCACCCGGTGGTCAGGAGGGTCCAGCAGGGCATTCGCCGCCACCCTACTCACCCTCACCTGGCAGAGGTGTCATCTGGGCACTAAGGGGCGCCTAAGGGGGGCTGGGTGGCCTGAACAGCACCTGCCGGGTCCCCACCTCCAATCCGCCAAGAGGAACGAGCGGCTCCTTGTGGGGACATCCCTTTTATTGGCACTCAGGAACAGCATGGGCCGGGGATTCGCCCAGGGCGCCGGACTCGGAGCGGAGGCCGCGAACCGCCTGGCGTGGGCAGCAGACTCGCTCTCAGCTCTCGCCTGCTAGGGAGTAAATCAAAGCTCAGGGAACAAACCCACAGAAATGGGATAAAAGGAAGAACTGCCGCCACCCCATTATTTGTAAGTGCTACTGCGTCGAGACCATGATCATCCCGACAGCCTGAGCCAAAACTGCTCAGATCCTCGCCTCGTAAACAGCATGAACAGGAAAATAAGTAAGAATACGGAGGGAGGAAGCTTCGAGCAGAGAGCGCCAGCTGGGAGTGGGAGGCCGCCCGTCCTGCCCTGCCCACGCCCCCACCCGGCCCGGCGGCGGGCAGGGCAGACCTCCCCTCCGGTGCCTTCCCTGCCGTCCCAGCTGGACCCTCTGCGCTGGCTGTGTAAGGCCTGGGCACAAAGGTCATGACAACAACCGACCCCAGGGGTCAGAGTTCCCCCCAAAATCGCTTATTTTAGGATACATAAATATGTAGTAAAGAAATTCTCTGGAATTCAGGGGAGGAGGGGTCAGTGAGGACCACACAGGGCCTGCCCTGAATTGGAAACCCATTTCACGCTCAGTGGTGAGTCCTTGTTTATTATTAAGATACACAGGCCGAGGCCGGAGTGCTGGCTCACGCCTGTAATCCTAGCTCTCTGGGAGGCCGAGGCGGGCGGATTGCTCGAGGTCAGGAGTTCGAAACCAGCCTGAGCAAGAGCGAGACCCCGTCTCTACTATAAATAGAAAGAAATTAATTGGCCAACTAACATATATAGAAAAAATTAGCCGGGCATGGTGGCACATGCCTGTAGTCCCAGCTACTCGGGAGGCTGAGGCAGCAGGATTGCTTGAGCCCAGGAGTTTGAGGTTGCTGTGAGCTAGTCTGACACCACGGCACTCACTCCAGCCTAGGCAACAAAGCGAGACTCTGTCTCAAAAAAAAATTAAAAAGATACACAGGCCGGGCACAATGGCTCAGGCCTATAATCCCAGCACACTGGGAGGCCAAGCTGGGAGGAACGCTTGAGGCCAGGAATTTGAGACCAGCCTGAGCAAGAGTGAGACCCCATCTCTACTATAAATAGAAAGAAATTAATTGGCCAACTAAAATATATATATATAAAAAAACTAGGCAGGCCAGGCACGGTGGCTCACTCCTGTAATCCTAGCACTCTGGGAGGCTGAGGCAGGAAGATCACTCAAGGTCAGGAGTTTGAAACCAGCCTGAGCAAGAGCGAGACCCCGTCTCTACTGAAAATAGAAACAAATTAATTGGCCAACTAATATATATAGAAAAAATTAGCCAGGCTTGGTGGTGCATGCCTGTAGTCCCAGCTATTTGGAAGGCTGAGGCAGGAGGATCGCTTGAGCCCAGGAGCTTGAGGTTGCTGTGAGCTACAACGCCACCACTGCACTGCAGCCTGAGTGACAGAGCCAGACTCTGTCTCAAAAAAAAAAAAAAAAAAGATATAAATGGGGCCATGTGCCCCACTGAAAACGTTTCGTGTTCACCAACAGTAGCCCTGAGCAGCTGAGTCCCTGCTCCCCTGTGGTCCGGGCCCCATCCTGAACGGAACCACTCACCTTGGATTAGGCCACAAACTGCTTCTTTCTCTTGTTTTTTTCAGGCTCTGCAAGTAAAAGCTCCAGTTTTCTCTTGGAGAATGAGAGTTTGGGCCCCCTGTCCCTCTCGCTCCCGAGTCTGGGGGACGGCCGTGGCCCCCTGGCTCGGCCAGGCCCCTGTCTGCCAGGGGGTGAGGCGGGAGCGAGGGGGGGCTCGGGCGCCCGGTCTTCCTCTGTGGCTCTCAAGTCCTCGGGCTGCATGTCCACGTCGCTGCTGGCCAGGGGCTCAGGGACCCAGCTGGCAGCTTTCATGACAAGGTCTGGAATTTTTGATGACAGAGAGTCTTCTAGATGAATGTCCCCTGGACTCTTCGACTTCAGTGTGTACAAAGCGATGTTCCAGCTCACGTCACCCAGAGGACAGTCGCTGAAGCCGTGGTGGGAATGTCTGCGGTCTTCTGATTCACCATCGTAAGGATCTAAAAGCTGACGACAAAAGTGTTCCTGAGCCGGGCGGTGGTGGCTCACGCCTGTAATCCTAGCACTCTGGGAGGCGGATCTCTCAAGGTCAGGAGTTCAGAACCAGCCTGAGCAAGAGCGAGACCCCGTCTCTACTATAAATAGAAAGAAATTAATTGGCCAACTAATATATAGAGAAAAAATTAGCCCAGGCTGGTCCGATGGTAGTGGGTTATCAGAACTTATTCACATTAGTGTCACTAAAGTTGGTATTCAACCCCCCACTGCTAAATTTGACTGGCTTTAAAAAAAAAAATTAGCCGGGCATGGTGGTGCATGCCTGTAGTCCCAGCTATTAAGGAGGCTGAGGCAGAAGGATTGCTTAAGCCCAGGAGTTGGAGGTTGCTGTGAGCTAGGCTGACACCACGGCACTCACTCTAGCCTGGGCAACAAAGTGAGACTGTCTCAAAAAAAAAACAAAAAACAAAAAAAGTGTTCCTGAGTCCATCAGCAATTTCTAGCAGGGGGATAAAGTACGACACATTCATGTGCAAGTTATCCCAGCACTGATGTTGCCAACTCTGGCGTGACCTGCCTTGCAAATCAATTGCTTGAATGCATTAGATCAACATTCCACAACACCCAAAAACGCCTGCAGGTACATCCTCGCTGGGGACCCGCCAGAGCTTGTGCTGCAAAGCCCTGGGCCCAGCGGCTCCGACAGTAAAGGTCTCCAGATCAAATCTAAGTCTTGTTAACAGAAAAAAAGCCAAACTGTAAAATTATTTTAGAGAGATTATTCTGAGCCAAATTTGAGGACCATGACCCGGAGCCACGCTCAAGAAGTCTTAAGCAAGTAGACTCGCTGTGGCTGTGTTACAGTCTGGTTTTATACATTTCAGGGAGGCAAGGGTTACAGGTCAAGTCATAAATCAATATATAGGAGGCATACATTGGTTTGGTCCGGAAAGGTGGGCCATCTTGAAGTGGGGGCAGGTTACAGGTGGATTTAAAGATTCTTTGACTTAGGCCGGGCATGGTGGCTCACGCCTGTAATCCTAGCACTCTGGGAGGCCGAGGCAGGCGGATCTTTTGTGCTCATGAGACCAGCCTGAGCAAGAGCAAGACGCCCTCTCTACTAAAAATAGAAAGAAGTTAATTGGCCAGCTAAATATATACTGAAAAAATTAGCCGGGCATGGTGGCGCATGCCTGTAGTCCCAGCTTCTTGGGAGGCTGAGGCAGCAGGATTGCTTGAGCCCAGGAGTCTGAGGTTGCTGTGAGCTAGGCTGACGCCACGGCACTGTAGCCTGGGCAACAGAGTGAGACTCTGCACCCCCCCCCCAAAAAAAAACCCACAATGTTTTAACATAAGGAGCTGTTATCCAGACATAGATTTGTGGTGTAAACTGAGGACCTGCAGGTGTGTCTTGCATAGCCTTAGGCCTGTTAATGGGTTACAAAAGATGTCCCCCAGAAGGGAGGGGAGCACAATGAGGGATGTCTGACCCCCCTCCTCCTGGGAGGCAATTTAGTTTAGGGTGTCCCCTTGGCCACCAGGGGAGGGGTCCATCCCGTCAGCGGGTTGGGGGGTGAGCCTTAAGACTTTATTTGAGTTCACAGTCCCCCGGGGCAATCTGGACTGTTGCTGCACCAATGTCATTTCCTGGAGTTAACAGCGGCAAACTGTGCTTCTGTGAGCTTCCAGCGCTGTGCGCAGGTCCCTGTGAACATGCCACGAGGTCCCCCTCCCGTGAAGACCCGCTGGCCAATCGGGTTGATCAGTGCAGCACTTAGTGCTTACTAACAACATGCACACCGCCAGTCACCCTCCTCAGTGAGCACAGTGGCTTCGGTCTCGCGTGTGCACGCGCGCACACACATGCACACACGCACACACGCACACAGTGCAAGCCCCCACCCTACCCGCATTGCACCCGGGCAGTGAAAACCTCCCCAGAGAGCTCATTTCCTCTTTAGACAGTTGACATTGTTATTTATTCCCCCCAAAAAGGTAAAAATTCTCTAAACGACAGTGGCTGCGGGCCCCTCCTGTGACATACCTCTCTCCAGATCCCTTCGGCAAAGTCCATGAGATCCTTTTTGTGATTGACCTGCAGAACAGCAAGCCGGGCGGGTGCGGCTTTCCACCAAGGCGGCAGGCAGCGGCTCACAGGCAGGGGCTCGCATCACATGTTCTAGAACCCTCCTGCTAAACCTAGGCTGCTGAGGAAAGCAACTGTTTCCTTTATTTCTTAATCAAAAGAAAGAGTCTCTTGGCCGGGCACGGTGGCTCATGCCTGTAATCCTAGCACTCTGGGAGGCCGAGGCGGGCGGATTGCTCGAGGTCAGGAGTTTGAAACCAGCCTGAGCAAGAGTGAGACCCTGTCTCTACTATAAATAGAAAGAAATTAATTGACCAACTAAAATATATATATACAAAAAATTAGCCGGGCATGGTGGCGCATGCCTGTAGTCCCAGCTGCTCGGGAGGCTGAGGCAGGAGGATCGCTTGAGCCCAGGAGTTTGAGGTTGCTGTGAGCTAGGCTGACGCCATGGCACTCACTCTAGCCTGGGCAACAAAGCAAGACTGTCTCACAAAAAAAAAAAAAAAAGGAAGAAAGAAAGATTTCGTCTCCAAGCCCTGGAATTTGAACACCTCTAGTTTGGGGAAGAGAAAAGACATCCTCACAGATGAACCGAGAACCACTGAGAGGAACTTTCCAGCGAGGGTCCAGCCCAGGCCGCCCGCCCCGCCCGCCCCTGCCCCCATGTCCACTAAGTGGGAACGGGTGGTGGGCAGGACGGCACCTTGAAGTGACAGCGCGTGTTTCTCCGCCTCCTCTGGAAGCCGGCCCTGGCGCCGGCCGTGCCAAACGCCGCCCGGATGCAGTGGGGCCGGCCGCGCCTCAGGCCGGCCATGGCTCGCGGGGCCGCGTCTGGACTTCTCACTTTACTGGAAAAGATCAAGTTTACAGGGGACAAAGCACAGGTCAGTGGTTGCCAGGGTTTGAGGGGAACTGGCCGCAAAAGGGCAGGAGGGAACTTTCTGGAAGCTGTTGTGCTGGTGGCTGCTCAGCAGATGTGTCTGTCAAAACCCAGAGCTGTGCGCCACTGGGGGAGGGAGTTTGCAAAGACTTTTCTAGTTAGAAAACCCACAGGCAGCTGGGAGCAGCCACCACGGGCAGAGGCGACTTAGGGAAAACCCCATCCCTCCACCTCCCACGTCTCGCAAAGACAAGAAAACGTCACGCGCTTCGTGGCCACCTAAAGCCCTGGAACGTCAGAGCTGGGAGGGGACTTGGTTCGAAGGTGCCCCCCTCCGCTTTTCGTCTGTCTTTTCCCGGGTGAAGAAACTTGAGTCCCGATTAGGGACTGTCTTGCCCACGATGACATAAAAAAAGTCAGAGAACTTCTCCTGAGAAGTGTGAAGTTGTTAGCAACAAAACAAAATCTACAAAAGCCCATGCACCCAACAAAGATCAAGGGAAGAAGAGCCACTCCAATCAAATAAAATACAAAACCCTCCCATGATTGCCTCCCAAAACAAAGGTTTTAAAAAAAAAAAAACCAAGAGAACCAGAGACTACAAACCTCGCTGAGGTTTCATGTCACTTGCTTTCTTCAGGAATCCTTGCAGGAAGTCATCGACTAAACCCTGTGGGAAAGCGCAACGGTCACAAACATGCGCCACCCCATGACATGCTTGGTGGGTCACATCCCTGGGAAATTTGGGCTTTCCCAAACTGGCTTCCTTGGAACCCAGTTTCTGAGGCCAGTAGAGCAAAGGTTTGGAAAAATCGGCAGCGTATTTCAGATGCAAATAAGAACACTAGTGTGGCGGGGGCACCATGGCTCGCGCCTGTAATCCTAGCTCTCAGGGAGGCTGAGGCGGGCGGATTGCTCAAGGTCCGGAGTTCAAAACTAACCTGAGCAAGCACTAGACCCTGTTTCTACTATAAATAGAAAGAAATTAATTGGGTAACAAAGCAAGACTCTGTCTCAAAAAAAAAATAAGAATGCTAGTGTGTTATATTTTGCTTTTATTTGTGTGTGCTGCTTTTGAGGTTTTTTTGTTGTTGTTTTTGAGACAGAGTCTCACTCTTGTCTGGGCTAGAGTGCTATGGCGTCAGCCTAGCTCACAGCAACCTCAAACTCCTGGGCTCAAGCGATCCTCCTGCCTCAGCCTCCCAAGTAGCTGGGACTACAGGCATGTGCCACCATGCCCGGCTAATTTTTTATATATTTTTAGTTTTAGTTGTCCAGCTAATTTCTTTCTATTTTTAGTAGAGATGGGGTCTCTCTCTCTCTTGCTCAGGCTGGTTTCAAAACTCCCGACCTTGAGCGATCCTCCGGCCTCGGCCTCCCAGAGTGCTAGGATCACAGGCGTGAGCCACCCCACCCGGCCCTAACATTAGTATTTTAAAGGCTAGAAAGGTTCCCAGTTAACTGAAGTCCATACTTTATTCAGATGTCATTAGTTTTCACCTAATGTTTAGTCCTCACGTCTCCTCACACTTTTCTTGGCTGTGACCCTTTCTCAGACTTTGTTTTCGATGACCTTGACCGTTTTGAGGAGTCGGGCTGAGTAATGTGTGAGACATCCCTCCACTGGCTTCCTCTGTCGTTTCCTTCCTGCATAAACGGGGGCCGCGGGTGTGGGGGCCACCGCAGAGCTGAAGGGCCTCCCCCCTCGAGGCAAGGACACATCCTGCCAACACGGCCTCTTGCTGCTGCTGGCGACCTTGATCCCCTGGCTGAGGCCGCGAGGGTCTGATTTCTCCTCTGTAAGGTGACGCCCTGCGCTGCCCCCTTTGGAAGGAAGTCACGAGAGGGCAGCCACGCTGGGAGCAGGCGGACGCCCACCTCCTCCAGGGCAGAGTCTACACACATCTTCCTGCCCCGGAGAGTTCCGTCTCTCCCCCGACCACCTATGCGGTCACTCGCGCCTGCGCCGACTCACGTTGGTTCCACACTTTGGGTTGTCATCCAATACCCTAGGCCGGCTGGTGGCGGCTCCCGCCAGTGAGGACGGAACTCTGCTCTTTTTCTTTTGCTAAAAACTCCTTCCTAAGGAGGCCAGCTGGGTCAGGCTGACAAATTGTAAATTCCCATTTACGCAGCTTTTGTTAACGTCCCAACCTGATTCCAGGGTAGCACTAACATCACCTAAAAGATAAGAAGCCCCTATCTTAACTCCAGCATCCTAGCAAATGCCTATCGGACATTTAAAACATCTTCCTGTCTGGACCTCCCAGAGTGCTCACACCCTTATCTTAAATTAAGCATATCCTTTCTGGCCTTCTAGATAAAGTCTAACTTTCAGCCAATTGCCAGCCAAAGAATCTTTAAACTCACCTATAACCTGTAAGCTCCCCCCCTCTTCGAGATGCCCCACCTTTTTGGGCCAAACCAATGTGTGCCTCTCATGTATTGATTTGTAACTTTGCCTGTAACCCTAACCCCTGTCTCTCTAAAAATGTATAAAACCAAACTGTAACCCAGCCACAGCGAGTCCACTTGCCCAAGGCCTCTTGGCAGTGGCTCCGGGTTATGGTCCTCAGATTTGGCTCAGAATAAATGTCTTTAAAATTATTTTACACGGCCATTACAGGTGGCTCACACCTGTAATCCTAGCACTCTGGGAGGCTGAGGTGGGCTGATTGCTCAAGGTTAGGAGTTCAGGAGTTCCAAACCAGCCTGAGCAAGAGGGAGACCTCGTCTCTACTAAAAATAGAAATTAATTGGCCAACTAAAAATATATATAGAAAAAAAACTAGCCGGGCATGGTGGCACATGCCTGTAGTCCCAGCTACTAGGGAGGCTGAGGCAGCAGGATTGCTTGAGCCCAGGAGTTTGAGGTTGCTGTGAGCTAGGCTGATACCATAGTACTCATCCTAGCCTGGGCAACAAAGTGAGACTCTGTCTCAAAAAAAAAAAAAAAGAAAAGAGGTATTTCATGCACAAGGTTAATAAATATATATATATATAGAGAGAGAGAGAGAGAGAGTACGTGCTCCCCCCAGCCTTGCAATTTGCTGTGCAGAAGCTCCACACACAAGCACCTATGTGAACATTCAGCACAGCATTTCACACCCAGACAGGCACAAACTATTCCATAAAGTATTTCCAGATGGGATATGAGACCCCATGGGGGCCAGGCGGGGTGGCTCACCCCTGTAATCCCACCACTCTGGAAGGCTGAAGTGGGAGGATCGCTTAAGCCCAGGAGTTTCAGACGAACCTGGGCAACATAGTGACCAACGTAGTGACACCCCATCTCTACAAAAAATTTTAAAAATTAGTCAGCATGGTGGTGTGCCCCTGTAGTCCCAGCTACTCGGGAGGCGGAGGCAGGAGGATGCTTGAGTGCAGGAGTTCAAGGCTGCAGTGAGCTGTGGTGACCACGCTGCTGCGCTCCAGCCTGGATGCTGGAGAGTCTCTAAAAAAACCAAAAAAACCTGAGGGGCACACTTGGCCCATCCGGAAGCACCCAGCTTTCAGAGTTCCAAACAGCCCCTGGGCGCAGGGTCTCGAGTCCGCTGGACTTCGCTCAGACGCTCAGAACTCCTCCCGCCAGACCACCGCCCTCGCTAGTCCTGTGGTTTGGGGAGATAAACAAAATGACACTGGCCCGGCTCCAGAACGGGTTTGGGTGCGGAGTAGGAATTCAACTAATGGAGGGAAGCTTGCAGGCTGTGTGACTGTCAGCAGTTTTACAGCTGGGGAAACTGAGGCTAAGAACTTGGCTTTGATCAGAGACACCACGGAGCCGCCCAGGCCAGAAGCCTTGTCTGCCCTGGGGCCATGCTCTGCACCCTTCCCTGCCCTTCCACGCCCTGACACACCACCCTGGGACATCCGGCCCCTAGGCGCCAGGCGCCAGCCTCCATTCCCCCCCACCCCCCAGGCAGAGAGACAAGCGGCCCCGCATAGACTCTTCCCCTCCACCCTCTCCCTTCCCCACCACCATCTCAAAGGCTACATAAAAGCCCTTGTCATGCAGATTGACTGGAGCAGTCTCTGAAGGCAACCCTATTATTATGGAAGCCACACACCTGGCGGCGAGTCTTCCTGACCACGCCCACGGGACTGCTCTCCGCAGCCAAGGTCAAGGAGGGCCCCTGCCCCCACTCCTGCCCTCCCGCCACCCCTGGGAGTTGGCTTTCTGAACCCCATCTGCCCCTGTGGGCTCAGGCCACCAGTCACTTAAGTGACAAATCCAACTGTGACCGCCACCTGCTCCTCCTCCTCCTGCTGTCCACGGCCCGGGTGCGCCGGGCCAGGCCCCGCCCGACAGTGGGAGCTCCAGGGGAGCACTGGGGTGTCAAGTGTGCCGGGTGTGACTGAAAGGCCTTCCATCTGCAGGACACCCACAGGCTGGGGCAGGCAGGGTGTGAAACAGGACGGCCTGGGTTGCTGAGAGAATTTTATGACATTCTTTTCTGTTGCATGTTTGAAAACAGCCTAATGAAAAAGTCAGAAATCACTGCCTCTGCCTCGCAGCCACCAAACCTCCACCTCCAAGCAAGTCCTGCCTAGTTCTCACCCTGTGTCCCTGCTGCCCACGGATGGACCTCTGTCCTGGCGCCCGCCCAGCCTGGCGCCAGGGCCCCACACGGCGCCCTGCCGGGGTCTCCTGCCGGGTCGCCAGTGCGCAGTGGAGCTGGGACACTGGAGCTGAGCAGCGAGCTGCTGCTCAGGCTAAACACTGTTGGTGGCAAAAGTCAACTCTGCCTTCACACTGTGTCCCCAACGCATGCACCCGCTTCCTGCGCCTCGCCCTGGGCCCCCCCCCCACGCTGTCCTCTCTGGCTCCTCGCTGTGTCCCCCTCCCACCCTGGCCCATCCAGGGTGAGCCTGCCACCCCTCAGGGCTCCCCAGGCCCTTAAGAGAGACCTACAGCCACCCCCCCCCCATCCTCTGTCTTCCAGCACTGGTCGCCCTCCCACCTTAAGGTTGTGACCTCCACCTGGCTGGCCCTCACTTCCGTCTGGTCTTCACTGTAAGGTCACCCTCACCTGAGGCCTCCTGGAGCCCCTTTTCACACACACACACACAAACATGCACACGTGCACACATGTGCACACACACATGCACTGCTTTTCCTTCCCCTGGGTCCTTCTCTCTCTCCAACACATGCCCCGTCCTCCTCTGTCTCTGTCCCTTTCAACTGACCCCTGCTCCACTGCCTGGGGCTTGCTGCTTTGTCCACAGTCATGTCCCCAAAGCCAAGCGGCTCTGAGCATGCAGTTGGTGCTTAACATATATTTGCTGGCTGAGGGAATGCCTGCATATTCCAGAGACCTCTCACCTAGTTATGTCCCAAACCCAATGCATTTTCCCCCAACGTGCCCTTCCACACGCAGTGTCTGCTGTAATGAAAGTGACCCCACCGTCTGCGGAGACCCCGGAGACAGAAACCTCGGAGGTTCCAGTGGGAGCCGAACAGCCAACGGTCTAGAACCAGACTTCATGGGTCCAAAAACCAGATCTGCCAGCAAGCCAGCTACGGGACTTCAGACTTCTCCCAACCTCAGTTTCCCTGTCAGTAGATCGGGACTAATGGGTGAGGAGTCCATCATGAGACAAGTGAAGAGGGTTGTTATTTCATTGTGTAAACTAAAATAAAATCCTAAGGCTCACGACCCCCCCCCA